CCAATATTTTTAGTTATACATTAGAATTTATTACTTCAATATCACATCCTTGCTTAAAGTAAGCATTTATATCTTACGATGTTAATTATATTTATTCTATATGCCCTAATGATATAATTGTCTATAATAGAATAAGTTTTGAGCAATAATTTTATACAATAAATAAAGGTATCTCAGAAGCAAATAATATAATTAATATGAACTATAATAATTATATTATTATCGTTTAAAAAAAAAAATTGTCTGTATTATAATTGAAATATAATGATAATTATAAAATGGTTTATGAGTATTATTAAGATAATTTATTTATATAAAGTTTTTAACTTATTAAGGACTCAAGTAATCAAGTTTATGCCTCTTTGATAGTATCTAGCTATGATAATGTTTCTAAAATATAATTGCCTCTCTCATAAAATAATTTGTGCTCTATTTAAATTCAACAGCAAAATAGAACAACTGAAAATGTCTACACAAAAACAATATTAGATGAGTAGACTTTATATTTGAATACTACTTAGTAGAAACTCTCATTAATAGAAATAGAATATTAAGATGGATAATCACTTTAATAAATTGACGTATAGTTAGAACTTGAAAGTATTGAACCAGCACATTAAATTGGCTTAAAGCTATTTACTAGAAATATGTGCAAAATATTTTGGTAAGATAATATTAGCTTTTCTTAATTAATAAAAAATTTATTTTTAAAATAAATGTCTCTCACAATTTAAACATAAATTGATTTCAATTAAAATAAGACAATGAACAATTTCTAAATGCTTAACATGTCATTAACTTTAAATAAATCAATTCATTTGTCAGATTTTAACAAAATTTACTTGTAATAATTATAAATAATAACCCAAAGTGATATATAGATTACTATTTCTAACTGTAATCTAGTCGTAATAGATTAATTATTCTTGAAAGAAATATAGATGCAAGAGTAGTTTTTATTTATTTTAAGTAATAACACCAATATAATAATAAATGATGTTTATATTTCTGATCTATTTTCGAATTAAATTTTCTAGATTATCTATAGTGAATAAGTGACAATATAAAATATAAACATATAAAATTGCACTCATTTAATTAATACGTTTGATATAAAATAAATTTAAAATCTTACGATTACAAATACTTTCTTAAACTAAAATTCATTTTCTTTTGTTTACTATATACAAAGTACAATAACCACATCTATTTAGAATATTTTAGTTAAGAACTCTACAGAAGTTGTGATAGTTTAAATCGAAGAGTAAGATATCAATACAGTTTAATACCTTAGTGGTAATTTTATGCTAAATAATGTAACACTTCTTAATTGTGTAGATACAAACTTCTCTATTCAAGCTCTGGAAGTTAAATTATCTTATATTGCTTTAGATTATATTGATGTTTCATAAACTATTTTTAGTATTTAAGCTGAATAAATAAATTTGGATTATTTTAATATAACAAACACTAAACCATTCTCAAAATCAGTTGATAGTAAATTAATAGATATAAAAAGTTTCACAAATTCTTATATTAACAATGTATATTCATTAGATAATGAAATATCAATGATTAATATAAATTAACAAAACAAAGGAGGATATGCTCATATTTCTTAATCAAAATTCATAAATTTCACAATATCAAATAACAATCCTTTGATATCTTTAAATGGACTCTTTAATATAGTTTTGGATAATGTAATAATAAAAAATGTGGTAAACACCTAAAATTAATATACTTCTATATTTGTAATTTAAAGCTGTGATACTGTAACTATAATTGATAGTTAATTTAGAAACAATACTAATAGTAATGGTCCTGGAGGAGTTATTTACGCAGCTGAAAATAAAGTAATTAATATTTTAAATTCAATATTTTAGTTAAATTAATGTTTGGCACTGAATGGAGGAGCTATATTCATATTAAATACAATTTAAACGGGTATTTTAAATTTAAAATAAATATAGCTAATATCAAATAAAGCAATTTATTCTTCTGGAGGAGCCATTTATTTACAGAATAATAATTTAATAATGTAAAATTCTGTAGTATCCTCTAACTTAGCTTAGATAGGTGGTGGCATATACTATACACAAATTGTTCCATAATTAATTATTGATTTATAAAATAGTAATTAGAATAATAACACTTTTAAAGATAATGTTGGAAGAATCTTTGGATAAAACTTTGGTTCTACTTTAAGGAAAGTCTATATTGATTTAGATTATATCGAAGCATTAAATAAAATTTTGAAATCTATTTAAGATGGAAACATACTAATCAAATAATTTAAAAGTGGAAATTAAATAAATTTAAAAAAAATATAGTTGTTGGATGAAGAAGAAAATCCATTAAAGTTGCTTGATTTTAATTCATCTGAATTTAGTTAATTGAGTAATGATGTGTAAACTTTACTACAATAAATTAGTGTTTCGGTAACTTGGGAATAAGAAAATTAGTAAATATAATGTGTTGGTTAGCTTTAAACAAAATCATTTACAAATGGAGGTTTTAGATTAGATGTTTAAATATTTTATAAGCCTATGTCCAATATGACCCTAAAAATAGTGAGTAATGTGTTTCCATAAATTAAAGATTCAAATGGAAATATTATAGTTATAGGAGGGTAAGCAGAATTAAATGTTTAAGTTTTTATGGAATAATGTTCAGTTGGAGAAATACTTATGTAATATGGCAATTCTATTGCTTGTGAATCTTGTCCAGATGGAAAATACTCTTTGAGTTAGAATGATAATTAATGTAAAGTATGTCCTGATTCAGCTCTTAGGTGTATAGGTTCAAATATTTATTTATAGAATGGATATTGGAGAGAAAATGAAGATACAGACAATATTTTATAATGTAGTTTTAATCCATTGTCCTGTAAGCCAGAACTTTCTACTTCTAAAGTATAATAAATTTTTTTCTTAAATAATTATTAATTCATTGGAAATTAATTAAAAAGAATTTATAATCTATTTAAAGCTTATATTAGTTTAAAAATATTATTATATCCTTTAACCAATTCTATAAAAATTGAATTTTTATGTTTACAACTCTTGAATTTAAAAGTTTAACTGTGATGTAGGTTACAAAGGACCTTTATGTCAGAGCTGTGATACATATGGTGAAATATGGGAGGCAAGTTATTCTGAAATTTTAAATCCTGGTCATTGCTATAAATGTTAAGAAAACTTAGTCTAAATTATAATTATTAATTTGACTATCTTCTTTTTAATATTTTGTTATATTTTAACTATCTTAAGAAGAATTATTAATTAACTTGAAATTAAACTCACTGGTTATTTCCTTAATAAATTGAATTTCATTTATTTAGGGTCAACTTGTAATCATATTTTTTTTCTTTTTTTTATCATATCTTTTTTTTTTAAAAGTAAGTTAGCTCGATAGATCATAAATTTTATCTAAGATATTAACTGACCATTTATAAATATTATCTTTAATATGCACATTTACATTCAAAATGCCAAGCTCATTTACTCTTCCAATACAGATATCAGGAAATCCTACTAGCTTGACTAGCAAGTCTATAGATTGTATTTTTTCACAATACCCGTAATTTTAACCTTTATGGTTATTATAATCTCTATGGTCTTTTACTCTACCAACAGGAATATTTTTATTATATATTCTTATTGGAGTTATTTATTTGGCATTTAAAATAAATGTTTTTTTAAAATACCTACGTACTGCAGCTATATTTATTTACATTTACTTCTTTCCGATGATTATTACTCTAACAAGCAGATCATTTAACTGTATAACTATAGGAAATAAAAAATACTTAGATTTAGACTTGAATGTCGAATGCTTTGATAAAGATGAGCACAAGCCTTTTATATTTTGTTATAGTATCCCAGTAATATTACTATGGGGCCTATTTATTCCTATATTACTTTTCTAAAAAATATATCAGACTAAATAATAAAAAAAATCTATAATTATATAAATTAAATATTCTTACTTATTTGCAGGTTACAAAGAGAGATTTTATTTCTGGGAATTTTGGAAATTGTTTTGCAAAATGAAATTGATTTTAGTATCCGTCCTATTTAAACAAAATATTTATTTGAAGGTAATATAACTTTTCTACTTTGATAAAAAATTAAAAAATAAATTTTTTTTTTGGCTATAATTAAAAAAACTGGTTTTATGAATTTTTTTAGATTTCTTCCATTTTTATTATATTTAATACAATATATAAATTATAATATAAAATATTTATATTATGAAGTAAAAAAAATAATTATTTATTTGATATTTCTAATCTTTTATTTAAATAATATTTTAATATGATAGGTAGGTGCTATGAATACACTTTTACTTTTGTAATTTTATCTGCTTTTAAAATCTAAACCTTATGTTAGAAAATACTTTAATGATTTATAGCAAATATCTACATTTATATATACTTTATCTTTAAATTTGTGCTTTTTATAGATAATTAATGATCAAAATGGCTCAGAGTATTAAAATGCTTGGATATTTTTAGTTTTCTTTATCAATCTTAATTTTATATCTGTTCTAGTATTAGGTTTATTGAAATTAAATATTTCTATTGAAAGAAGGGATAGAAATTGCTTTTAAAATATAATATTTAAAATTTATAATAAATATCCTTAATTATTTGATATTAAAATATAAAATAAAGAAAAGATAAGGCTGCTTTTAAAGGTAAGAGAACTAAAAAAAAAAATTAGATAGATGATGAGATATCAAAAAAATTTTGATTTTTAAGAATCCCTTCAAAAACACTTTAACTAGAATAATTTACAAAATATAAATCTATCCCCACAATCTATCAAATTAACTTAAACAACCTTTTCTGAACCTGATGAAAAGTAAAACATTTTTAAAGGCAATAATTCTATAAAAAAGATGAGAAATAAATGGCCTTACTATACTAGAAACCCTAAACTCAACTAAATACGTAATAATTAAATTATTTAATATAACTTCATATTAAAAATTTAAAACTAAATAATAGAGCTCAAAGATTTGACTCCTACTAACATATCATCTTCTCAAAACACCTATTTTACTGGTGATTATATTATTGAAGCTGAGTCTCCAATATAAAATAAAGATATATTCAATAATTAAAATTGAATTAAAGTTAAAATTATTTTATTTATTAATTATTTAGTCAATCATTATCTAATATAATTATTTAAGTTTTTTTTATGTTATTCTTTTTAGTTATTATTTATCAATAAATATATTATAAAAACTCTTAAAATAAAAAAAAAAAACCTTTTTAAAATATAATTTCAGTTAAATTAAAAAAAATTTTTTATTAATCAAATTTTATGAATATAAAGCAAAAAAATTAAAAGGCCTTTCTTTTTAATAAAATCACAGGTAGATCTGATAAATTCTGACAAATTAAAATAAAAAAAGCAAGAAGGCTACTTAGCTTTCAAATTTTAAATAAAATCTTATTGAAATTCCGCCGACATTAAGTATCCAGTCAGCGGAATTTCAATACCTGGATTAGCAATAATATTTTTTATTTATGTGTAATACAATTTTTATTATATTTTACATTATAATTTGTTAATAAGTAAAATAAAATCATAGTAAATAAAGTATTATTAGTATTGTGATTATTAATTTAACTAATGAAACCATTTAGAATCTTGTTTTTCAAGAATGTATATGCTGATTTTTACTATAATCGAGTGTTTAACACTTCCAATAACACTAATAATATTTAAAGAAAGTAGTTTAAAATCTAATACTACTCTAATTATCGTATATTTATTGAATTTTTAATAACAATTTATTTGAGGCCATTTTATAAAAACATAATAAATATTTAAATTATTTTTGAATAGATAATTTGGGTTATCGCATTAATTTTATTTAGTGTGTTGTATGCTTAAATTGATTCTTTAGAAAATAATCTATAGGAAAATCCAGATTATATAGTTATATAATCATTAGTAATTATGCTTTTTATGGTACTTACTATAGTGATAAGTCCTATCTTTTAAATAATATAAATTGTAATTATCATCAAATAATATTGCAAAAAAAATAAGAATAATAATACATAAAATAAATCAGATTTATTTCTAGATGTTATTTTGAATAATTAAATAGCTCTCCACCTCTTCTAGAAATGTCTATCTAGAAAAACTCAAATTGATAAAATAGCAAATTAATTGATTTAAAATATGTTTTGTTTTATTAGTATCTGTTTATTAATTTTTGAAAAAAAATATTTTAGTTTTTTGTATGGAAATTTAATTACTCCTAATTTTATGTCTGCATACATAAATATTAATTTATTAATAGTAAAAATACAAATAAATAAACTAAAAGACTAAACATTTCTTTTTATATTAAACCATAAATTATACTTCCATTTATTATTTGTATACTTAGTCATTTTTAAACCAAATTTTTAAATACTCTTATTGCAATTAGCAAACAAACATCTTACTTATTAATTTAAAAAAAATCAAAAAAAATATTACAATAGAAAAAGCAGAAAAAAATATTGCAATTTAAATTTGGTCAATTTTCTACTTCCTACTACATTTAAATAATAATTAATTTTGAATCAAAATAATAATTAATAGCAATTTTCTTTTAAATCTACCCTTCTTAGCATATGTATTTCTCTATTGAATTTTAATTATTTGATTTTATGTATGAGAGCTAAAGATTAGAGATAATAATAATTAGTAAAACTTAAAGATTATTAATATTAAAAAATTAATTAATTATTTAGAAAAAGGAATAGTTTTATAGCATTTAAATTGATGACTTTTTTATTAATTAGTTTCATTTTGATATCTACTATTAGGGTTTGCTGTTATGGATAATGCTTAACTAGCTAAATTTACTCTGTTATTACTTAGTCTTGCCTTAATTGCTCTGAAAATTGCTTAACTTGTTTTAGCATAAATGAAAACTCATGTATTAGTTGTTAACAGAATCTGTTTAAAAGTTCAATCAATAGTTCTACATGCATTAAAAAATGCTTAGATGATGAGTTTTTGAGTGAAAACTATTAATGTATGAAATGTATAGTTTACGGATGTACAAAATGTGATGCAAATTAAAAATGTTATGAGTGCGATCAAAATATGGAACTTGATTCGAATAATAATTAGTGCATACTAATGAATAATGTTTGCCCATTTTTAATAAATTTTATTTAAGGTCCACCAAAACTAAAATAGTGTTAATAAGAATGCTCACCAACTTTTTACTAAAATATGGATGCTTAAACTTGTGTAGAGACTACCAAATGCATATAAATTCAAGAAAGCTCATCATTTTCTTTTGAACAAGAATTAATAGATATATAATAGGTTAATCAATAATAATATTTAGCTTTAGCAAATGGCTGCACTTTTGCTTTAGCAGACAAAAATTGGAAAATAATTAGTCTATAAATCCTTTAGAATTTAGCAAATTACAATGATTTATATTTAACAAATGGGATAGAAATTTAAAGAAAAAGCTTTATAGTTGGAGATTAAGGAGGATGCACAGCAGGAAACAAATTAGTTGTTATGGATTTTAAAACCTTAAAAGTATTATTTGTTTAAGAAAATACAATCTATGATTACAATCTGTTATTAGTAGATTCAATAAATTAACTTGTTTTTTTATCTACAACTGCATATACAAATACATTGGTTTGGTATGATGCTATTAATAGAAAATTAAATTCTATTGATATAAGCTATCAATAGATTTATTTATTCTTTTAATTCCAAAATAAGTCTTAAACTTCATACATAATTTAATGGTTTGATAACTCATTTTAAGTAAAAATAAAAATATAATTTTATTTTAGTTGTAATTTTTTTTATTTTATAA